GTGGGGATGGAGGAGTGTTACTTTTTTTTGGGTATTATCATTAACCCGCGCCAGAAACTATTTGCATTCGGTAGCCGAAAAATGTAAAATTTGTAGTATAATTTTTCTATATAACATATAGAATGTATATAATTATATATATTCAAAAAATATATACACTTTCGCCTATTATTTTGAAACCGGCTATACAGTGTCATTATCGTTATCTACATTTCCTGTTGAATTGTGTTCAGAATTTTTTAGAAGATTCCAACATATTGATACAAAAATGATTATGCTCATAGAGGCCAGAAAAATGTTTGGCATGCTTGATTACCTAAAATTGCAGTCTTATCTTTAATAAAAGCACTAAAACATACCAAATATGTAAAGAATTCAAATCAGTCCTAGTCCATCCATATCTAAAGTAGTAGCATTTCTTGAGGTCATGAGCACTTCACCTATTAAAAAAGGCAAGCATATTTTTTAGGATGCTATTAGTGGCTTACTTCCATCCACTAGCTTAGTGCCATCAGAATCCACTCGTCTGATTTCTGTTAGAATATATTTTAAGATCCGCATAGAACCCAAAAAAAGGCCTACTTGTTAGTAAGATAAACCTCAGCCAACTAAATATATGCTTTGTTTTTCTGCAATCTTCTATCTATTTTTCTATTGCTATCCGTAAGTGTCTTCATATACCCAAGTCTAAACGTGTCAAAATTTGTCTATTCCACCGGATACCTATTAGTATCTCTTACCAACACAGTAATACTGTATAATTCTGCCCACTAAGGCTTAGGCAGATGGGAAAAAAAAATCATCTAGTGTTTACATCTGCTGGAATACGAACATGAAACCTCATGCTTCTCGTCCCATTTTATCGACCACTAGCCACACGCATGGATGAGATAAGCAGATAATATTCTAGATTCTAAATAAGTGCACATAGTATCCAAGGTATCTGATTCCTCAGTGATCCAAATTATCTCAAAAACACAAAGCATCTACCACTTTATGTGTTTTCAACTGAAAATATAAAGCATCTGATTCCTCAATGAAGACCATATACTCAAAAGTATCAAGAGGATTATCGGAATTACTTTTCTACAGCATGTTTCAAAAAGTATGATATATATATTTATCAGTACGAAACAGAAGCTTATGCATTTTACATCTTAGCCAAATATGAGAAAGAAAATTGACAGGAAAAGGGAAATGATTAATATTGCATGTTCTGGAAATAGAAGCAGTAGCTTTAGAGATTCACTTACGCGTCTGTACCTTGACTATTCTTTCCTTCAGGTCCTGGGCTTTTGAAGCTTCGCGATGACATACAAACTTGTGGCTATGAAGATGTTCAGGTTATGTGGGAAATGCTCAGAAGAACCGAGTCGGAAGTGACATCTAAGCACCAGAAGCGCAAGCGCAGACCATTGTGGAGGATTTTTGTATGGTCCACCCATAGTTCTAACTCATCCTTCTCCTCAGATCATGCTCATCAATAGACAACTTTGCTACATCTTCAACAACAATAAAAGTATCTGAAGAGTGAAGACGCGTGTATGGCGCTTCCATTTCTTGAGCCCCACAGGGTGGTATAACCTGAGATATGGTACAAAAGCTATTGTATGTCCATATCAGCATAGGATGAAGTATATCTACTATACCTCTATAGCTAGCATGACCATAACGAGACTATCTATGATGGTGTCATTTGTAAATATACCATCTTTGTGATGATCCGCGATCATGTTACAGCATTAAATAGATAAAAAGAACTGTGAAGAGCTCAACTTTCCTCTGGGAGGTTAATTTATGCTATTATGCTTAATACTCTGATATTCATCATCTGCGGCTGAATGTACAACAAATGAAAGGTTTGGGTATAAACCAGCCTCATTGTCCTGAGAATAACTTACCAGTTGAAGAGACAGGCGTTTACTCTACTCAAGCTATAGTATGTGCACTTACTCAAGTATGCACTCTCCTCTGTGCAATTGTAAAATGACAGATATGTAATTGGACAGTAGGTCACAGTAAAAATCTTAATAATTCAGTCACTTAAAATCTCACAATTACATTTAGAAAAAAGCGAACAGGAACTAAGGGCAGGGAGTTCTGGCCAAAATAATCTAATCATTCAGTCACTTCAATCTCGAACTTTTTAGAGTAGGAAAAATTTAACTAGAGGGGAGAAAAATTCTGGCGAATGGAAAAGGCTATGAGTTGTTGAAATGAAACAAGGATCCACATATTTGTACACATTTTTACAAGGTGTGGTATCAATAAGCCAAAACTAGCCAATAGAGTGGCAATGCAGCACTTTAGCATACCAACTTGATAGAGAATCTTGCACTGCTTCAACTTTGCATCCTCCTTCTGAATAATGTCTTTCCCGGATGCAATGCATAAGTTTAAGAAATGTTAAGCTGATTGAAGCGACAAAGATAAAAGACTATTAAGCTGATCCATTTAGAAAGAAAGAAAAAGAAAAAACAAAGAAATGACATCAAAAGCAGAAAGGGATAATCAAGGACAAACAATGATGGCAACAAATGCTAAGTCATTTCATGCAAAATCAGAACTAAATCCACAGAGAGAATTTGTGATGCAAAAGAACTAACTCTCATCTACCTGTCGATTAAAGAAAGAGGAGAATCACTCAAACATCATCCTTCCCCTCGGAGCCAGAACAGGTTCATCATGACTGTTCTCATCTGCTATCTACTATTACATGGAATCAGAACTGAAGAGAAATGCCAAACAGCAATTGCCGTACATTTTAAATCACTGAATAATGTTAAATCCTGCTTCAAAGTTGATCGTCAAGTAACACATAAAATTGGTGGTGTCCACAGATACTAGATAAAATTTTAGGGGCTCCCAGTTAGTACAATCCAATTTTTGGGGGTTCCCACCTCCCAGTAAATCAAGTGGTTGAAATCCAGTTGCTAGCACAGACATCAAGGGTGTAAAATTGGGTCTCTTCCAACAAACTACTTAGGACTGCCGCTGGGATCAAAAACCAAATCACAAGAAAGAAATATCGAGTGGGGTATTGGAAAGATGTGAGAAAATATTAGCAAGATGGAAAAGTTAGTACCTTTATATGGGGTGGGGGGTAGATTGATTTTGGCAAAAAGTACAAGGATTCTCTACCTACATATACGATGTCATTATTCCCTATACCAGCAAAGGTTGAAACGAGAATAGATGTTTCAAAAGGAACTTCATTTGGCAAGGAAATAGAGAAAGGGATGTTTCCATTTGGTCAGATGGAGTAAACTCACTATCATAAGGGCATCTAGGCATAAGACACTTAAAGCAACAAACTTAAAGTCTGCTTATCAAAAGGCTATGGAGGTTTAGCGGGGAAGAACAAGCTCTATGGAGGAGAGTAATTAATGAAAAATATGGGACTGAAGGTCAGTGGGTTTCAAGAACAGTAACTACACCTTATGGGGTTATTGTATGGAGGTCAACGAGAGCTTTTTGGCCCATTTTCAGTTCCAATGTCAACCTCAAAGTGGGGAATGGGATGAAAACTTCTTTCTAGGGAAACAATTGGTTAAGACAGGGGTCTACCTAAGCCAGCCACAAAGGGGCAACTGTTAGCCAAATATGGGGTCAACAGCAGTAGAACCTGAGCTTTAGAACACTGTTGATTGATTGAGAAGGCAACAGAGTGCTGATTTTTTCAGAGTTCTGGCTTAATTCAACTGAACGTGCGGACAGGTTATCATGACAGAGGCATAGCAAAGGCAACAATACAGATAAATCTTCCTATTAAGCACTCACTCATATTGGAGAACAGGTTAACTCTTGGCCTTTCAAACACATATGGAGAGTGAAAATTACTTATCATCTGTTTTGTATGACTTGTTGTTAAAGAAGCCAGCCTGACCCAAGATAATTTGAAGAGAAGGAGGATTGTGCTATGTTAAGATGTTATTTGTATGGGAAGGAACCAGAGATCAACAGTCACCTTTTTTTGAACTGTGGAGTCACTGACCAACTCTGGCAATTATTCTTAAATGTGAAAGGAAACAACTGGACAATGCCAAATTCAACAGGAGACTTACTAGTACGCTGTAATAGCTCTGGCAGCCTTTTCATGCAGAAGAATAGATGGAAAACAATCCCTGCATGCATATGAACGAACACAAGATGTTTTTAAACACAGATGTAGCTCTATTCAGAAGATCAAGATGAATTGTCTTCTTTCGTTTCACTAATGGTGTAAAGAGGTATTTTCAGATGATGCAGGATTACCTCTAGATGTTATACAATCCTTGTAAGAAGAATAAGGACACACTTTTGTTATTTCAAACTGTAAGTATGGCATTCAGCACTGCCTTTCTGCTGATAGTATATACAAGCGGTTACCTTCCTCAAAAAGATTCCCAGCCCCGCTCAAAACCTCCCCTGCCCAGAAGCCAAACAGTGACTTCCCAACTTGGCTTCCCTAGTGAATCAAACGCCATTTCTCATGGTTAGAGGAGGAGGCTTCTTACCACTAGCTACCCCAAGTCAAACAGTCTTCTAGAATTACCCAGGTGACTGCTTGTCTCCTACAGAAAAGGAGCATAAGATATTTAAGGCTGTGATTAGTACTTGAATAAATTACCGCAAGATGGAATGGAGTTTTACAGACAAATCTTTAACTTGGAAATGCACAGAAGACAGAACAGAAATAGTGGTTGATTATTAGCAGGCTTATTGGTAAACTTCATATATCCGGATCCTACAATTTAGCAATACTTTTATCCAGAAGAAGTGCCAATTTTATTAGGACAGTACACAGCGATAACGCATGACATGAAGCACATAAACTTAAAGACTAAGAGCCAAGCAATAAGGAATACAAACTTGCAATATAGGAAGATACATAAGAAACGAAATAGTACAGTTTCCTGAGAAGATATGCATTTGTTCAGTTCTTAAAAGAAAATTCAAGTACTCAGAGCTAAAAGACATATAGATAGAGAGATAAGGAAAGAGATCAACTTTCTTCTGACCTTTTCTGTTTTCCAGTAGGTAAAGTTTGTCTCAAGAGAAGAAATATTATCAGCAGTCTTCTGCTCTATTTCCAACTTTTACTCCATCTTCAGAATGACGCACTTTAGTCATATCTCGGTCTGTTGTCCGTCTTTCCATTAAAGGCACCCCACCACTGCCCACATTTCCTTTGAATGCATACACTGAATATTCCAGCTCAGGATAGGATATAAGCTCATTTCTTTTTCTTTTTCTTTTTTCATTGTAAAGTATATGAGCTTATCTTTTTTAGACCAGCTCAACTGTTTGATTCTCTGACAGAATGAGCCGCTTTGAATATAGCAGCAATTACACATCGTTGAGATCCAAATTAGCCAGAAAATAAAGTAACCAAGTGATAAATACACGCAAATATCATAAAGAAATGCCCATTAAGTCATTCATGCTGTATCATTGACTATCTAGTGCATGAAAGCAATCAAACCACCAAAATAAGTGAGCTTAGTCAATGAACCTAATGAATAAAACAAAAGATTCTCAAATCTTTCCTGGAAAGAAATAAAGATTAATTGAAGCAGCAGTAAATTGCAAGAACTTACTTGAACTCATAGAAAATCGTGAGGCAATGGGGAAAACAGGAATTTTGAACTTCTACCAAACCTCTAAGGTTAGTTAAGCACTACCAAAATAATAACATAGTTATCCGTTAGTTAAAAGGTGGACATACATCAGATTAGATTTGGACACTTTAGGGTACTAGTAAAAAGCTTTTTTTGATCCTATAGAGCATGTTCTACAAAACACACCATAGACAATTCGCTCAGTGCAGACACCATCAAGGAATATCAGCAATTTATCACCACTTAAATAATTAGTTTATGGGGGCTTCTTCAAATCGAGAACAAAAAATTACTTTGTAATTGAAAGTCGAGCAGATGGTCAAGTCAGTTTGAGGAATATCAACTCAACATTTAGCATCATGGTTTATGGGAAAGAGAATCAAATAATCAAACTGTTCCGGGGTATACATTTAATAGAGTAAGAAAAGATAAAATACAGAAGTGGGTCACCGACCCAATGAACATCAATCTAGAACTAAGAAATAATAAGATGATAAACCTACTGGTGAAAACGTGTTGTTAATATTGAGGTTCAACCAATCTTGATTTTAAAGATACACAGCCATTCTTGCATCATCTAGTTTCACCTTTCTACTGAAGTCCTAGGCTACACAATTATTCCTGCAAAACTTGTGCCAAATTTGCTCTTTACTGTAAAATACAGGAGGGAGAATGCAGAAAATATCCAGAGAGAATTATGCTAATCATACAACAGCGCGACCAATGCAGGTGTTCCTTTCTTCAAGTCCCTTTCAGTGGTTGCTAAGAAATGGGGTGTTTCCCGGTAAAGTTAAGCCCTGTAGCAGGTGAGACAAAGATTCAGGGCTCTGTGCCTATCATCTTCAAGAGACAATATTGACCTCAAGAGGTGTTGACTGGTTCAAAAAGGCCACAAAAGCTGAAATGATGTGGCTGCGCAGAAACCCTGAACGGAACAGTGCCCTTAGAGCCAGTAGGGACCAAAAATTCAACTGGAAGGTTCATGAATGCCTTATTCTTCAAATGTGCGTGTACATATTTTTTCCAGCAGCAATGGCCAGTCTTCGCCAAGTTGCCGTGAGTTCAGCTCCATGGCAACCCTAAAATCTTGCAACGATATCAAGTTATGGGGAGCATGTTCTTGCATGACTTCTGAAGATCTACCACTACTTATCTGAAAATGATGACCTGGTCTGAGGCCATTGACGAGCTTCA